CAGGGTCTAGTGCTCTGGAAAAACATTTAGCGTGGATGTATGATGAGCATTCCTCAAGACAATATAACACATGACATTTGCCTTGAAATTTCCTCCCCAGGGCAGCTGCTCCATGTGCCTGCTTCCTCAAATTAGCCACTGTGATGTATCTCCGTGCCACTGCAAGTCAATACCAGGAACATTTGGTACCTGACAAGAGGTAAATCATGTGCTACGCATTGGTCTGCTGAGCAAAGACAATAAGCACAAACAGTAGGCAGAATGGACCAGCAGCCATTACGCTGGGATGTATTCTGAATGAGAAGTCTTCCACCAGCTTCACCCATAGCTTATTTTTCCTCCCCTCTTCCTCTCTTCACACAATCCAGTTCTACAGTTTAGCCACGGAGGCCATGCGGGAAAGGCGAAAAGTCAATTCAGTGTGGATCAGGCCAAAACGATTAGGAAATAACTCGTAGCTTAATAGTCACATGAGTTTTGCTTATTTAGCTCTCAGCAGGGTTTGAGATCTTCCCCATGAAGACAATACTTTCAGTTTTTCTTTCAACAAGGATAGTCAAGAAAGGAGAGTTCACTTCAAATACAGTAGGCATGGACATGGGCACCAGGTCCATCGCAGAGGCTGCTGAGGCTTCCGTTCCTTTCTCATCTATCACCATTACAGCCTTATGAATAGCCTAGGATGAAAAGAAAATTCAAGGTTCATTCTGTCTACAAGAGACATAAATCTGAGCATTCCGGTTTACACCATTCCAAAAAATGCCTTGCAAATAGGTTTGGTTATCACTCCCACTTCTTTTGCACTCTGCAAAGGCACCTCTTTACTATCTGGTCATCATCATTAAAGCCAATCAAATATTTCCCACCCATGTCGAATCTGCATTTGCATTTTTAAATCAGTTTTGTGCTGCTGTGACGCTGTCTTTCTCTATGCTTGTTTGAACGTTGTTTGGAGAAGATTCTTTTAAAGCAGTGGGGAGGCGCAATGACAGTGGAGCTGCCACGAAAGGGCAATAAGCATATGAAGCCGTCCAAAAGAATGCTAGCACTGTTGAGGTGTGAAAATGAAACCAAATGTAAACAGCTTTTTTGAAGACGGAGTCAAAAGGCTGGGACACCGGTGGGAAAGACAAATGCAGATTCGACCCCAGGCTGCAGCTGTACGCCATTGGCTATGGTGCTGTTGTTTCACAAATGGATAGCTTCACCCATAGAGTAAAACCTTGTTGCTAATGATCACCACAGGACAATGATAGTGCAATATCCAACGATATGCAGATGCAGCCCAGTTTCAATATCTCTTGGGTTTTGTGGCCTAACCAAGAAGGGAGTCAATAGAATTCCGTAGAATAATGTTTGTTTGGAGTATAAGTGTCTCTCCAGAAGGCCATTTTCCTTCCCAAGAGTGATAGAGACAATGTGGCGGAATGGTTAGTGTTGGACAAGGACTGGGGAGACCTAGAGTCCAATGAAGCCATGGAATGTACTGGTCAACTTTGGGCCAGTCAGTCATTTCTTCTTTCATCAACCTCCCAGAGTTGTTGCAAGGATACAGTGGGAAGTAAAGGAGCATGTGCAAAGCACTGAGTGCCTCAGAAGAAAGGTAAGGTAAGGTTGGATGTGGTACTTTGCATCACGAGGAGATGCCCAGTGATGCTGACGCACCTGGATGTTAACATGGGCAGGGCAGAAGGGCTACTGAATGAAGGGGTGGTACTAGGCTGATTTGCCCGTCATCTCAAGGCTTTAATAGTGACCCAGAGCAAAGGGGAGCTGAGGGCTCAGAGTTCACCCCAGGCACCTAGGCAACCTTACACACCCCTTCCCCAGAAAGACCACAGAAGGAAACTGCACAGTCTTCCAGGCCACACTGGAAAGTAACACTTCCTTTTAAAAGTGCAAACTTTTTAAAAGAACTGGCAGAGATTTCAAAGAAGCCCCAGAAGGGCTGGTGATGAGGTGAGTTTGGTTCCTATTTCCTTTGAGAAGAAAGAAACGACTTTCCACTCTGGCAATTTAGGGTGTGTGTGTGTGTGTGTTGGCAGCAACTGCTGAGGCCAATGTCCCTATCACAATGTGACAGACAGATAAAGAGTGGTTTTGTGGCTGGATCTTCTTCATGTGGAAAAATTGCGAGTTACCAGGCAGTAGCCTACCACTGTGTGAGGGATGTGTAGTTCTCCTGGTTCCTCTTTCTTGCTGTGGCTCTTCTTGACCTATGCGGGAACCAATTTCCCTGGGACATGGGACCCACATAAAGGGACAGCTGCAGGGGGAGGGGCAATGTTATCCCCTAATTCCTCCATGCTCCAACCTGCCAACCCAAAGGGTTCTTTCTCTGAATGGATCCTGTGAGCCTGGGAGTGATCTTTCCAGGAGTCAGAAGGAGGTGCAACAAGGGTAGGGAACATGATGGACTCCATGTGCCTTCTGTGGATGGAAGGATGCTGCCCACCGTATCCTGGAAAATGTTTCAAGGATTGCAGTTTTGATGGTGATGTTAACTAGTGCTTTTTCGACCTCTGAGCAAGAGATACCAAACTTGGAGGGCAGGTAGAGGAGCATCCGGGGGAGGTCTGTTGCGAGTTTGGTGTCTCTAGCTTTCACAGGATTCATTCTATACATTCCTGAACCTCTTAAACTTGTGACTGTCAAAACGACCAAGGTTGAGGAGTGTATAGAACCAATGTTCCCTCTAAGCCGTGGAGTCTTGTGAGCAAAAATTCTACTTTGTGAACTACTGGCATTAAAGCTGTGAGCGAGCAATTTGGCTACTGCATAACTTAGTTTGCTCTGGAGCCATCCTTCCTGAGCTAAGACAAAAACGTGTGAGCCGGAGGCTAAAAAACTGTGAGCGAGCTCACACTAACTCAGCTTAGAGGGAACACTGTATAGAATGGATCCTGTGCAAGCTAGAGACATTAAAGTCACAGTGGACCTCCCCCGGATGCCCCTCTACATGCACTCCAAGTTGTTGCTTTAAAGTTTTGTAAACATTTTGATTGAGTGGAGACTGGTTGTTAATGTATCCACTCACGAACTGGCACAAATCTCCATAAACAATGACAAAGTTCATAGAAAGTTTATGTTGGGTGCTCTGCCATGAACTAAATTTTGCAAATCACGAACAAGGCAAAATTCATGACAAATTTTGCTTTGTGGTTTGGATTGTGCCCATCCCTAGATATATATCTGTGCTTGTCCTTAACGTCTTCATTGGCAAGGGCTATACTAGGACAGGCAGTGCCATCCTAAGCAGAGTTCCACCCTTCAAAGTGCATTGAAATCAGTGGCACCGTGAATCTCTTACAATTTTTTAAATGTTCAAAGCAGCCATCTGGGGGTGTGACCTGGACTAGGACCATGGCATGGGTTCATTCTTTTCCTGGCCATATGCCTGAGGCAAATCACCTTCCAGAGTTGCTTTTTTGCCTTGAGATGGGGGGGAAATCTCTGAGGTTCATACATATGTGTGTGATTGACATAAGGACAACAGCACAACAGACATCCTTCCCCCTGACCTACAACCCTGAACTGGACCAGGGGCCTCAGCAGCTGCTGTTAGCATTTTGAAAAACTGGATCATGGATTTTCTGCAGTCTCCCCTAGTTTGGCTCTGAAACAATAACAAAAGTAAACAGGTTTGTGAGATAAAAAGTCAGAGAACTGGGACATCGGGAAGAAAAGTTCCAGCACAGCACATTCCGGCATGTTGATTTTCTAAGTGCAGTGAGTTTTTGTATATGTAAGGGATTGCCCAAAACTCTGATCCTCTATCTGCTGTCCGAAGTTGTATGGTCTGGGAAACACTGGTAGCCTCACGGATGAACTGGTATATTTGCATAGATTGCATTGCAGATTAGATCTATCTTATCACATTGTACATTCCATTCCCCCCCCCCCGCCAGACATGTTACACAGGAGACCTCACTTCTGACCTACATTCATTCATTAGACTGGAGAAACAGCTCCCCTAGGGAGAGGCCTTTGCTCAATGGTACAGCAGCTGCTTTACATGCAGAAGGCCCCAGGTTCAGTCCCCTGCATCTCCAGTTTCAAAGAGCAGAGTGGGTGGGAGCTGATGTGAATGACCTTGACCGGAGTCACGCAATGCTGACTTTGAAGAGCCAATGGTCTGACTTAGTACAAGGCAAGTTCATGTGTTACCAAATGCATTCAGAAGCCCAGATGTGTACACAATGAACACATGGAAGGATTGTGCCTATAGTCTAGTGACTAATCATAGGTCTAAAAGGAGGTTGTGGCCATGACTCTGTTCCACCATGCATGGTCACTATGTGCATATATATCATCTGAAAGGAGATCTGCATCATGGTATTTCACTGAACATGTAGGTCAGTTCTAATGCATACAGCATTTTTTTTGCCAGATTTTGCTAAAGTGGACATACCATGCATGTCCATGCCTGGAAAAAAAAGCTATACATACAGGGATAAGAGAGATGTAACTTGCAGTTCAATCTGTGCAGGTATGCAAATTCACAAGGGGATCCTGCAACTTGTGTAACAATGATCATTCTTGGTACATTGAAAAAAGACTTAATTGTATAGTTTCATTAGCGTGTTTCAAGGTTTGCTATTTCATACAGACCTCAGTTCTATCAGATGTGGATTCAACATGATTCCAGCTACTACTTTTCACATGGTTGTGCTTGTTTGATTATACCACCCTTTTTATCCTCACAACAACCCCATGAGATAGGCTAGGCTTCCATGGCACAGTGGAGATTCAAACGTGGGTCTCCCAGATAATCTGATACTCTGTGCTACGCAGTCAGATGTACATCTTTGTAGAAGAGAGGCATAATCTCTTCCCATACATAGTCAAAACTGTGCATGTATACACCCACCTTTTGTGCAATTTACTTTGCAGAATAGATCCAGCTTTGTCCATATCTATATAAAACCAGTTTAATGGCCATTTCTGTCCCTCCAGGGACTCCTGGGAACTGTAAGGAGAAACAGCTAACAGGATTCTTCCAGGGAAGGCCATGATGTTTAAACTGGCATACAGCCAACAAAAGCGAGCAGTGTAGAGATATGCACATTTATAACATCTTCCAACTAGGGCAAGTTGTCACCTATTTAGTACCTATTAATATGAATTATAAATACATGCACATACAAATTCTTCTGCATAAGAAAAAAAGATGCCATCACTTACGCCATTAACTCTGTGCTGAGGCTGGCCTGTGATTCCAGACAGATCGGCTTTTTCAGTGAAGGCGTCTACTATACCCATGGAATACATTATGTCTTTCAGATTCAGCTCTCCATAAACGGCACATTTTGGGATATACACATCTACAGAGCTATTTGGAAGAGAGAAAGGGGTTTGTTAATCCTACAAAAATACAATATCCATCAGACTTTGTCTATACATGCAACAGAAGGAGGCTATGGAATCAGTTGTGCCACTTTGGAATGCAGGACATAATCCTGATGCTTCCCAACTGATTTAGACATATAGAAAATAGAATAGCAGGGAAAGGTCTCAGACAGAACCTCAATTTTCCATTTGCAGGACTTTTGAAAACATGAGGTAGCATTCAAAAGGGCACCTCTCCCCCTCTAGTACTGTCTATTCTATTACCTCAGCATTCTAGGGCCTTCTCTGTATCATAGAAACGTGTAAACTATGGCTGCTTGAACACATGCTGGTTCAGGTCACATGCTGTTTGCCAGTGGTGACCAGGCAGCCAATTAACTGACAGGCTGTTTGGCTGTTCACCACCTGTTTGCATCTATTTGCAGACACAGGCTACTTGCAGCCAGCAAAAACCGATTCCCAGCTAGAGGGATCAGCTGGGAATCAGTTCCTAATATTCTGCTAGGGAAACATTACTCTGTACCCAGCTAAGGATTGGGGGGGGAGTTTGGGGGGGGAATCAGGAGCTGACTCCCAACTAATTTCAGGAATCAGCTGGAAGTCAGATTCTTCTGATGACTCATCCTGAAAACTCTGCTGCATCTCAGACTTGCTGTTGATGTCGGACAGACAATTCTACTTTAATCATTGTGTCTTCCCAAGTGCCTGGGGGAGAGAGAGACTGTTGCCACCAAGGCCAAAGCTTTTACCACTTGCTCTGCTCCTACCCACCAGCTCCTGGAAGCTTAAAGAGAAGCTGCCTCCTGGAAGGAGCAAAGTGCCTGGGGAGAGACTAGGGTGAGACTTGCTCGGCACCCCCGGGTAAGTCTCTTGCTGACTGCTGTATCTGCTGTATTTTATGGTTTGTTATTGTTTTCTCATATTATAAGCTTTTTTAGCTCACGCTCAGCAAGGAAAAGCAGGCTAAAAGAACCCAAATAAATAAATACTATGAACAGCCATGATAATTTCTCCATTTGGTTGATAATTAAAGGCTCTCGGAGATTAAAGAACTGGATGAAAAGACAGCACTGGAGAACGGGACCACCACCCTCCCCACCCCTGCTAACCAGTCATATAGGTCACTGATGAGAAATCTGTTCTTTCAGATCTGAATACAGCAGCGGTTAGCTTAGATACACTACAAACCCATGGAAATAAAATATGAATGAACACTGCATCAGGTGAGATAACCTGGTTGCATATTACTATCTTCGGAGTGCCTCAAGTCCCTAAAGAAAATGGATGTTTGGACTGCAGTCATCCTTTGAGGTGTATTGTTACCAAGACAAATCTCAAAAGAAATTTTTGCAGAGGAAGTTTTAATTTACAAAAAGGTATTGTTCTAACCCACAGCAAGAGAACAATCGGCCTTGACTTCACTCAGAGCATATATTCGTGCATACTCTCCCTGTTTCCCAGAAAACCTTGTGACTACAGAAATGAGGGGAACAGACACTCTGACCTTTGAAAACAACTGAAGGGGAGGCATCTAGGAAACTGCATCTCCCTCCTTCTCCCTGCATTAACACCAGACCCCTCTCTTGCCTGTGAGTGGCTCTATTGTGTGGAACAGATGGGCACAAACCGAACCACAAAGCAAAATTCGTCACAAATGTTGCCCTGTTTGTGGTTCCTGAACAGAAGTTTGTGACAGGTCTACCATCACGAACTCCCACAAACCTTTAGAGCAATTCATGGTGGTTCATGGATGGAGCAGGAAGCAACATCTTTAAAACCCTACTTTCTATTCCCCTTGAAAGCCACAAAAGCAGCTAAGCTACCTGCTGCTCAGCTGTTTTCCAGGCTACAGTCCCTTTCAACAGAGTTTGCAGGGCTATGAACCACAAACCAGTTCAGTTCGTGAATGAGCTTCCTGGTTCGGTTCGTGATTCAGCCATGAACCATGAATCAAATCACATTTTCCTGGTTTGTGCTCATACCTATTGTGTGGTTCATGTGTTTTTTGTTATCCACATGGACACCAGACCCTTTACTGTTAGATATAATCTGCTCCCCCCTCTAGACCATTTTCAGTCCTCATCAAGTCATTTTTGACATCCCTCCTTTTTTTCTTCTTCATTCATTTACATGTTTTGCATACCTGGGAAGTATGTACAGGCCCCTGTCTTGTCTGTCAGTGACCCTGTCATGTGGTTTATATCTACTATTTGATGTAGTGATTAGACAAATTCACCAAAGATAGGTCCATGAAGGATCGTTAGTCATGAAAACTAAGTGGAAGTTCTATGTACATAAATCCCATAACGAGCAATACATTTTTTTAAAGCACAAGCATTCAAAGGTGCATGTCTGTTCACTTCATGAATTCAATAAAGTAAGGCCTTGGCCTTCAAAAGTTCATCTCCCAAGTTCCCCGATGTCATTCAATTGAGTGGCTCACCACCAAAGTCAAAAAGTATTTACCTCTTATGGAGTATTCTCTTCCAAGCTTGCACGGCTTCATTTGACAAGCTGCTGACCACCCTGTCCATTTCTCCTTTGTCAGGCAGGATAAAATATGCATCAGCATGTCCTTGGTAGGGCATTTTCAAAATGGTACAAGCCCTCTGGTCATCTCGGCCACTTTCAAACATGCCCATCTGAAACATCATTGGCACTTTGATAACAGTGTTAGGATCAATATAGAAGTCACGTGGCTCAGTGTACTTTGGATTAAAAGGCTTCTTCCAGTTGGCTTTCAGAAGAAAGAAATTGTTAATGAACATTTTAAGAAGGCAAAGCTAATGGCATTAATGAAAACAATCCTATTGCAGATATTCATTTAGAATATTGTTATTAGCTTATAGCAGAGGCCCCAGCCTTTCTGAGGTTTCATGTACCTTTGGAATTCTGACAAAGGGAGGTGGACACAACCACAAAATAGCTGCCACAGGAGCCAGCCACAAAATGTCAGAGATCAAGGTCATATATAACTGTAATAGTAACTGATGTTTTAGGCAGGAGCTCTGTTTAACGGGATGCCTTTTAATCTGCACAGCCAAGCAGATGCCCAACTGGGCAAACACCCACCTAGCCCCTCCCACTTTCCCCAAGTCCAATTTGGACTTGGAGGAGTGACTGTTTCCCAGAGTAGGGGCAGATCCATGTCTGTATGTAAAGAAAAAGCTGTTTCTCTATTCCTTTTAAATTGATGAATTCGGTGCCATCATAATTTGATTGTATTAAAGGTTCCTTTTTGTGCATCAAGATCCTTTTCCCCTTTGCAACTCTGCTTTCAATAACTTTGCAGAGGTGCCAGAAATATGTGCTGACTTTCAAGCTGGGAGTGGTGAACTCAAAACAAACTCAACTCACAGCATTGGGTTGACACTGCATATTCATGTTAACCCTAGTAGTGTAGTTAAGGGGAAAGGGATTTCTTTTTCTGAAATCCACTTTCTAAAGATATAGCCATTGATTCCTCTCGTTCCCTTCCTTTTTCTTTTAAAACAGGCCTTTCCCTCTTTGATGTCTCTTTCAAACGAAATCAGTGCATTCTTTTTGTAACTTCAGCCCTTGCAGCTGTTATATGCTGTACACCACAGAGTGGTGCTCTAGCAGGAGGACAGGAAGGTTTGAGAACACATTGCCTGACTCTGAACATCGACAGGGTGAAGTTCTGAAATCGGCCAAGCGTCCCTTCCTGCCTGTCCTTTCTTAAAAATTCTCTTTTATCAAACTAAACTGATTAATGCATCAATGGGGACTGTTATGGGAAAGAGATCTCAAGTTCACAGCCAGTCAGGCATTAAGAGAAAACTGGTATAAAAAGCTTTTCATAGAATCATAGAGTTGGAAGAGACCTTCAGGCTCAAGCCTCTTTCTGCTTGCCACCTGCCTCCTCGGCTCTCCCAGCCAGCTGGCTCTCCTCTTCCCTCTCCATCCGGAGAGGAAGAAGGAGAGCCAAGGAGGAGGCAGGCAGGCGGCAGGGTAGCAGGCGGCGAGCAGAAAGAGGCTTTGTGGCACCTCTTTCTGCTGGTCACCTGCTGCCCTGCCTGCCTGCCTGCCTCCTCGGCTCTCCCAGCAGCAGCAAGATGGCTGGGGCTGGCCGGCCAAGGCGCAGTGGGGTGCTAGGGCAGGCCATTCTCTAATGACCCTCCCTATTGCCTTACTGCACCTGCGCCAGACAGCCTAGCCATCACACCGACTCTTCCTGCTGTAGCCAAGCAGGAAGCACCTGGAAGAGCTGCCAAAGCCACAGTGGGCAACAGTGCACTGGGGGTGGGCCTGGCATCCTCTTGGGGAGGGCTGGGGGTCCTCCGTGGGGCACTGCCCCCAAAAAACCCCCTGGATATGGGCCTGAAAGCCTGTTTGGGCTCCCCCTTTTAAAAGAAACCATTCCCCACAGCTGCTGTGTGGCTGCGGGGAACCCAGACTCCTTAAAAACAGTAAGGCATCATTTGGCCCTTAGATTCAGGCCGTATCTATTTAGTGATTCGAACGAACCTTGCTTGAGAGTCTCACTAAGGGAACAAAGATTAACTAATTAGGGTGCATTTGTTTGGGCAGAGATTTGCTAATTACAATGATCAACATCATGTCTCATCTTAATGAGCTTGACTCAGTCTCGCTAATCACTTACACAGAGATTCTAAAACGGCATAAAATTATGTAAAGTAAACCAATGGACTGAGAACCCCAGCCACGGAAATGGCCAAAATGAAAAGGCTCAGAAGAACAACATTTACACAGAGCTTCCACACATGTAAACTGTAGGTGGGTAGACACCAGCCTTGCAGCTGGAAATGCTGATGTCTCTGTGTCATTTGTACCTGCCATTTGCTCAGGCTGTGTCCACACTGGGTTGGATCTAAACTGAACATTTCCCCCACCACCTGTGTCCCATGGCAGCTTGAAATACCCCTGAACTCCTTAGGGTCCCCACTCCTCCAAGGACAGGGTTTCAGTGGCATTTTGGACTGCCCTAGGGAGAGGTAGGTAGGAAATATATGCTCCATGAGCAGAAATCCTTGGGCCCATAGAAACACCTAGTCTGTATGCCAGTTTATAGGTGGGACCTAGGGATCCCCCAGAATTACAGCTCATCTTTAGACTACAGACATCTGTTCCCCTGGAGAACATTGATGCTTTGGAGGGTGAACTCTATGGCATTGTACCCCCACTGAGGCCCCTGTCCTCCCCGGGCTCCATCCCCCAAACCTCCAGGTGTTTCCCAACCTTAAACTGACAATCCTACCAACCCCCACCCCCACCAGTGGCCAGGAGGGACTTGGCAACTCTAATCCAAGCCACTGAGACCACACTATGCAGTCAATGGTGGCGCCAGTGTGCTGGGTTGCCAACCTCCAGGTGATGGCTGGAAATCTCCTGCTATTACAACAGATCTCCAGATAAAAGATATCGGTTCCCCTGGAGAAAAGGGCTGCTTTGGAAAGTGGACTCTGTGGCACTGTACCCCATTGAAGTCACTCCCCTCCTCAGACTCCACCCCCCAAATCTCCAGCTATTTCCCAAGCTGGAGCTGGCAACCCTACACCATGCTCCTACTCCCTCTTTACATATGTCGTGTTTACACAGAAGCAGGCTAAGCTATATTTTCTGGCCTTTCAGCAACCCTAAGGGGTAAGCCTTCTCATCCATTTCTCAACAGGGTCTAATACTGCAGAAAAAGAAGACAATGGAAGGGGGAACACAGATGAAGAAGCCTTTGACTTTCTTCACAAACTTGGAAAATCTGCACACAAAAATACATTACTTACAGGAGAACAAAGTCTGAGTCCAGTGGCACCTTTAAGATCAACAAAGTTTAATTCCAGGTATAAGCTTTCGTGTGCATGCTACTCCATACACACATACACCTAGAAGCCCTGCACATAGAAAGGCAAGACCCCTTGACATCTTATTTTCTGTGTGCAGGTAATATATTTTATATGGAAAAGCATTTGATTGTGTGAGCTCAAACTGCAGTTTGAGGCAATGTTGCATCCTAGACGCAGAAGGAACTAGGCTGTAGTGATAATATTTATTTATTTACTGTATTTTTACCCCACCTTTTCTCCAAGGAGCCACTACACTAAGCCAGAGGTAGGATGACCTCTATTTGAGGCTGATGGCTGTTTTTAGATCAAGGTCAATATTGCCAAGAGTGGAAAAATAGGGGAGCTGGAACAGACTTCCCAGCATCATGGTGGGACACATCACTTCTGGCAGAAGGTCAGAAGTGACATCATTATGTCGGGGGGATGCCGTAACATTCACCAAAATTCTATGGTTAAACCATATAGTTTGGGGCAAATCTTAGAGTGTCACCTCAACACAATCATGCCACTTCTGATTTTGCACCAAAGTGATGTCATTTCCCACCATCAATTTGTGAAGCAGCAGAGCGAATGGTGGGCAATGGAGACCTGCCTCCCCCACGGCAAGTTGAACACTTTCCCCATTTTCAAGCACAATGATATATACAAGTAAACCTTTCTTCACAAAAGAAAAGGGCATGTGATGAAGTAACTAGTGATAGGCCTAATGGCGGACAGAAAAACCCAGACTTGGAGGTTTGTTTATGATTTGTCAGCCCTGCTGGCTGTTAAATAAAGAAGCTGAAGGAAATGTCCCATTCAGCTTGCTGCCAAGAGGGTACATTTCCTTGGTAGTGCTTATCAGTAGTTTATGATATGCACTTGTCTTGAATGTTTTGCCACTCTAAATGCCAAAGCAAGAATCATAATGGGCTTTCAATTTACACATGCCAGGGACAGAGCAGTGAGCACCATATACTGTTGGGTGACTGCTTGGAAGAAATTGACAGTTTATGAGTAAATAAACAAATTATGCAGATGGTCCTGACTCATTCATTCTTGGGTAAGCAGTGGTACAAAAGGAATGGAACTGTCAGAGGGGATCAACTTTCCTTACAGTAGTATGATATAGTGGTTCGAGTTCCATACCAGGGAGACCTGCGCTCAAATCCCATCCCGGTGATGAAGCTCTCTGTGTTACCTTGGACCAGTCACCATCTCTCAGGCAGACTATTTTAGAGGGCAAAATGGAGACATAGGAGGGTATGCTGACCTGAGCTCCTTGGAGGAAGAGTGAGAACAGATTTACGCATTGGTAATCCAAGGTAATCCCACACCTCCAGACACACAGATAACAAAACAGCCAGCAAAACAATCCTCTCATGCCAGTGAAGAAACCAGTGTTGTTGTTTAATCCCTGGATGGAGAGCGGTAGGCTCATGAGCTTGGATCCCAGTTCTCACAGTGAGTCACTGGAAAATCTTGGGCAAGCTCCTTAATCCCTTGATACACCCTTTGTTTCCTCATCTGTAATACAGGGTCACTTATGCTATCCTACCTACTGGAGGTGTCCTGGGAAGTAATTAATACTTTAGAACTTCAAAGTGGCTGCATTGTGGCTATAACAATTCAAACAATGAAGACAAGTTCACAGTGCCAAGCCTTTCTTGCCCTCACTAACCAGCAGAGTCACCTCCATTCTGTGCTGCAATGGAAGGTAGCTAAAAGAATCAGGAAATTGGCCAAAATGTGGGGGTGACATGCATCTATTTAACAGCTATAAAAATACAAAAGACGTGTGAATGTAATTCATTATTTTAAGCCTGTGCCCTTCATATTTTGCAAAGGGGGGATGGACAGGAAATTGTATTTATTCAGTCATTTATTATGGTGTCCAGTTAATTGCTTGCAAGTCTTCACATAGGCATGGAGCTTTGTTTTCATCGCTTGTGTGTCCCTATTACTTGGGGGAAGGGGGTTCTTTTCCATATGTGCTTTGCTCCCTCTAGTGGTCTCTTCAATATTACATTGCTGTACCTTCGGCATATTTCCTTGCAGATTTAAAGCACAGGGAAATACGCCACAGATACAGCGATGCAATATTGAAGTGGCCACTAGAGAGAGCAAAACACATGCAGAAAAGAGAGGAAAAACCAAAGCAAGGGGGGGCATATGTGGCAAAAATGACAGTGTTGAAGAGCCCTTCAGACTGCAATGTTTGGGAGCCAGATTGGTATAGTGATTACTGTATTGGACATAGGATTGCCAAATCTCTCACTCCAGGAGCAGAGCTACAGCATGGCAGACCTGATCCCCCACTACCAGTCGGTAGGGCAGTAGGGGGGGAATGGGGGGGACTGCTGTCCTTCCAAAGGTGTCATGGCACTTCTGGCACAAACCCAGAAGTGATACCATTATGTTGGGGCAATGCTCTAGCATTCCACACCATAGAGTTTCAGTAGAATACTAGAGGATCATCCTGACCCAATATCTTCTCTTCCAGGTTTGTGCCAGAAGTGATGCCACACCATCATGGCAATGACAATTTACACATCCCTGCCCCTTACTGTCTCCCACTGGTTGCTAGTGCTTGGCTGACAACCCTAGTTGGACTAGGACTGGGGAAACCCATGTTCAAACGCCAATGTTGCCATGCAACTCCGTGGATGACCTCTCAGCTCATAGTATTGTGAGAATGAACATGAGGCAAAATCTGCGTATGCCACCTTGAGCTCCTTGGAAGAAGGATGGGATAATATACGTGAAATAAATTAAAAAGTTACTGTACATTAACAATACCATGTAATTCAAAAACTAGCAAACTAGGTTAATCTACAGCATTTGCTATATAGAAATTTGCAGGGAGTTTTTATGTTAAAAATGCTTTTTCCCCTTCTCACCCTGATCCCAGTCAGGAATGTTGTGAATTTAGCATCAAACATGTCTGCCATTCGACTGTGTTGATCAGATGTGATCAGATGCAGACTGTTTGGCTTGGCACTGAATAACTCAAAGCCTGCCAAACGGGTGCTCCCCCCCCCCCCGCAAGCTGTACATGTATGAAGATGCTGCCAATCCAAACAGATCAGCAGCTATTAATGTTGCTAAGAAATACTTAAACAAATACCAAACAGTAGGATTTTTTTAAACACAGAGAATTTGTTGGTTGATTTATATGATTTGTGGTTGATTTTAAACAATTGCCTGACAAGCAGAGCAGTGATTCAACAAAGACAGGGGGGAGTACAACTCAATTGGACTGTACGAGACCATGCAAGTGTAAAAAGCCAATGGTGCTGTCCTGCACTATTAGGAAGGAATAGGGTGAACCAACCTGCTAAATGGCCATGAATGTGTTGCCAAACAGATGAACAGACCATAAAAAAATTGTCTGCCTGTTTGAGATAGATGAACAAGATATGTGAGTGGAACTGGTGGGTGTCTGAGCATCCCTAACTACAGTAAGAACAAGGGTCAGAGCGGTGTAGTGGTTAGAATGTTGAACTATTATTGGGAATACCTGCATTCAAATTCCCACCCTGGCCAAAGAGTTTACTGGGTGATCTGGGGCCAGGCACTCCCTCTGCCTAACCTACTCACACAGAGATGGAAGAACCCTGCATGCTGACCTTGCTCTTTGGAGGAAGGGCAGAATAAAAACACAGACCCAAACCAGAAACTGCTGTACTCCCTTTGCTGGTCTTATTTGAGAGAATTTCACTCATGTTGGTGAAATATAAGGGAATCTCCAAAGTTATCTTAACTTGTGAGGATAGGCTACTTTTTAAAAACTCAGCACTGTAAGCCCAAATCTCAACATTTCCATTTTCTATTTTATTACAATACTACAGCATGATAGTGATATCTATGGCTTTAAAAAAAACACACCCTGAAATCATGGATTGGGGGGAGAGGGACTGGTTTAATGATGATGACAGTTCAGTAATTGAGAAGTGGGTTGGAGGTGGGTGGGACAAAGAGAACTGATAGAAACTTTACACACCAGGAAAAAGCGAACTCAAAACTGGCTTCCAGAAAAAACATTGGGGTAAAAGTGGTCTCAAAACAGCCAGAAAAAACCTGGGCAGGGATGTGGAAATTGGGATAAACCAAAGTACTATGGGGCCAGAACCGACAAAAAAAATGTGGAAAAACCAGGAAAAGAGGGGTGGGCTGTGTAAGGGTTACTTCTTTGTATATATTTTTGTTAACACCTTCAAATTTCTACTTAATGAGTTTTGTAGACTTGTTGACATTCTTTACAACAGTTATGGTTATAATCTGCAATTATATTGTATTTATGCCTATAGTTTATATCATGTATAGGTTTATTACAATGTTGATATATTGACGCATCCTTCTAGTACAAGGAAAGAGGAAATGGCACAAAAAGAAAGGATCATGGTTTCTTGGAAAGAATCATTCATGCAAGGAAGCAGTGATACTGAAATAGAAATGTTCAGGTCAAAGCAATGGTTCAGTCAGTTTCTATTTATGGTATTTGTTGATCACAGATAATAAATTATATGAAAATGTAATTTATATATCTTTGAATTAAAAAATTCAACAACCAGGCTGAAACAGAAATTTAAAATCATCCCTGATTTATGCACAGATAATAAAATTCCACTTCGAATTCTACAAAATGTAGCAAGAGTCTAGGTTATCTAGGATGCAAACAAAGGAGATTAAAGTCCCAGTCTCATCTCTTACCTTTCATGTAAAAGAAACTAACCATTAGTATTTCAGTAATTGGATCAACTCGATCAATGAGCTTAGAAATCTTCCCCTGGGTTTTCCTTTCAACGTAGCTATTGATGTGTTGTATAGTTTCTGCTGTGTTCTTAAAATTTTCCATATAGATATCTCCTCTGTAGATATTTCTGAGGCCATATAAGAAATCTGGTTGAGGGTGCAGCTTGTTTTGCACAAACAGGCAACACCCCGTTTCCATGTGGAGGCCTGAGCTCCCACTGTTTAGCAAGTAGATGAGATCATGGAAACCTACATGTATGTTCCTTTCCGTGATCTCTGCTGGTTTAAAGTTCAGTCCTCTGAGGATCTGATCTGAAGTTTCTGACCTCGCACCCAAAGCCAGCATGGCAAATGCAGATGAGATACACATGGGAGAGAAGACCAGGTTTTTCTTGCCTGAATTGTCCCTCTGGTCTCCACTGGAAGCAGCTAGCTTCAAGAACTTGAATGCAAAGTTGGTATTGGTGCCAACCACAATCTCGTTTGGGCTTTGGCTTCTTCCTAGATTGGGTTGGTTTGGATGGTTCCTGTCTAGGGGATACTGACGGTTGTCACAATTGTTATTATAGTACTGGTTTCCAGAATTGGGAGGAAAAGCATTGTTAGCTAGAATCCCAGTAATGAACAGGAGAATGATGGGCTTCATTTTTCTCCCTAAGAAACAACAACAAAGAAAAACACATCAGTGCGGTATGCTCAAACAAGAATTATTCCCACCAGAGTCCTGTTAGAAAAGAACATTTGTCATTCAAAAAATTTTCAGTCTATATATTTGTATGAAATTTTGAATTCTCAATAAAAACTTTAATTTTTTAAAAAAGAAAGGAACTGATTCAAACTGCGTGGTACTAGAACCAGTGTTTCAGAGGACAGCTGTGTTGGTCTGCAACAGAAAGCCAGATTCAAGTCCAGTAGCACTTTAGAGAGCAACAAGATTTTCAGGGTATAAGGAATCTCGAGAATCAATGTTTCCTTCATCAGATACAAGTAGGAAGCAAGTAGGTTCATGCTCGCATCTGATGAAGGAAGCTTTGATTCCCAAAAACTCACGCTCCCAAAATATTTTTGTTCTCTAAGGTGCTACTGGACTCAAATAGAACCAGTGGGTAAAGGAACTGATTCAAATTATGTTTTACTAGAACCATTGGGTTCCAAGAAAATACATTCCTCACCAAGATGACTTTTGCCATCAGAGCCAGGCAGAGCGGGAAATAAGCACGGTGGGGACAGATTTGGAGAGAGTTGCACATTCCTCCCTATGCTCTTCTTTTTTTCTTTTATATCAGACACCACCCATATGTTTCAAGTGATTGGGGAAGATCCAGATTTACACATATGGATTTGCCATGGCCCTGTCTAGTTTGGCCTTTAGTGAAGACTGAGGCATAATCCATGAATCCGTTTATTTCCATGGGACTTTTCCCTTTTTCCCTTTGTGGTATTTAGTGAACTTCAGATTTTTGAAATCAGTCTATCTATTGAGTGCATATTTAATGTGATAGATTGATTAAAATATTTATTGGCCGCACTCTTCATGAAATGTTTGAGGTAGCTCATAACATCAATGAGATACTATATTTACTGCTTTGGAGGGATGGTGGTAGGTGCTGATTCACACATTACTGAGTATACAGGTTGGGTCTGAGATCCCCATTCTGTTTAGCAGGTATGCATTGTGGGTACTTCACAGTCCCCTGCATCTAGTGCCCTATTTCCCAATCTGAAATGGCCCATGGGAGGCATCATTTGGCCCTTTGGGGGAACCCACACAACTCAAGGAACACAGGTTTGATCAAATCACACTCCTAGGACCACTTCACAACAGGAAAATAGTGTGTGGGGTAAGAATGAAGCCCCTTCTCCACCAGCAGCACTAAAAATCCAAATCAAGCACCACGAGTCCAGGAAATGTGCAGTGCCTACAACTCACATCTGACTTTCACATATATGGTGGGTACCAGGGCTTTTTTTCTGGGGGAACATGGCAGAATGGAGTTCCAGAACCTCTTTGGCAAAATTATTTTTAAAATGTTTAAAAGTTCATGAGGTTTCAGCATAGCGACTGAAAACGTCATTTCCCTCTTGAGAGTTCCAGCACCGCTTAAAAAAAAAAAGCCCTGGCAAGTACCACAGATCCAGTCTGTGCATTCTCCATTGTGTGAATCAGCAGGGCTGCTCTATCACTCTCCCTTACACCAACTGTAATTTCGGTTTCTATTCCCAGAAATGTTTATTGTAGCAATCAGTTCATCAGGTCATTATGGAACAGCCATGGCATTATGCGTGGGATGGCCCAGGCTAGCTGATAGTCAGATCTCAGAAGCTAAGCTGGGTTGGCCCTGGTTAGCACTTGGATAGGAAACCACCAAGGAAGTCAAACCCTACAGGTTGCCATAAGTTGACTGCCTCTTGATGGCACTTTCCACCACCATAGTGGTTAGGCTCTCAAAATAAGCCGGGGACACCTTGCTCAGCTACTACGTTTGCTAGGTGGCCTTGAGCCAGTCACACACTGTAATTCAGAATAACCTAGATACAGGTAGCCATCTTGGTCTGAAGTAGCAGAACAAGGCACCTTTAAGACCAACAAAGTTTTATTCTGGGTATAAGATTTTATAGGCATGCCCACTTCTTCAGATTCTTCATTTCCAAATAATCTAGTTTACTGTGTAGCTGTGAGGAAAAACTGGAGGACAGGAGCAATGTGTACGCCCAGGTTATGGGGTTGCCAGTCTGTGGCTCGCAACTGCAGTAGACCTCCATGGGGGCCCCTGTCTGGTAACATTGTAATGCTGGTGAAGTGGTGATGTCACTTCTGGTATAACCCAGAAGTGAAGTTAGTATGTAAGGGGTCTAGCATTCAACTCAAACTCTATAGTCTAATCACAGAGCTTGGGATGAAAGCTGTAGCATCACCCAATGTGATGATGTCACTTAAGGCCACACCAGAAGTGATGTCATGGTATTGCCTGTAATACCAAACCTCCCCCCCCCATTTCTTCCAGAATCCCTACCACCACTATCATCCAGTTCAGCAATGTTGGAGAGTGCCAGCTTGGGGGTGGAAGGTCTCTTGACAAAGTGGGAGACCTGGCATCCATGGCAGTTTAGAAATATGAATGATAGGTTATATAAATTATCTGGGACTGAATTTGCTTTTTCCTCTCTTCTTTTCTTTTTGTGTTGTACATATTAGAAGGCAGACAGTCATTTATTAGCATATAAATGTATGGTAAAAATAAAGAAATAAAATACTTTCCAATTAAACTAAACTAAACAATTCCAATACTTTTCCAATAAACTAAAAACCCCAGAAACAATAAAAAGTAAAAACAGCAGAAACCGATAACAACAAAAAGTAAAACCGCCAAAATAGTAGCTAAAAAGTGATAAAGAGTACAAAAAAACCCCAACCTAACATGCTGCCTCCCAGTATACTAGTTTTCCTGTAAAATCAAACAATAAAATAGTTCAAATCATCTCATCAACACTACAAGGCAACATAAGATCATACGAAGAGCCTTGCTCTAGTCTAGCATTCAGTCTCACACAGTGGCCAAGCAGTTCCTCTGGATGGCCAAAAACAGGGCATAGAAGCCGAGGCCTTTTCCTGATGTTGCCTCCTAGCTCTGGGATGCAGAAGTTTAGTGCCTCTCAACTTGGAGGTTCCCCTCAGTCACCATGGCTAGTAGCTATTGATAGACTTATCCTCCATGAATTTGTCTAATCCCCTTTTAAAGCTGTTTATTCCTGTGGCCGACACTACATCCTCTGGCAGCAAATTCCGCATTCTAATCACTCTCTGTATAAAGTAGTATTTCCTTTTGTCTGCCTTGAATCTACTGTCCATCTGTTTCATTGGATGCCCTTAAGTTCTTGTATTTTTGGAGAGGGAGAAAAAATTCTCTTTGTCAACCCTCTCCACCTCATGCATAATTTTATAAACCTCTATCATGCCCCCCTTAGCCATCTCTTATTAAAACTGAAAAGTCCCAGTCTCTTCATCCTTTCCTCATAGGGAAGGTGCTCCAGCCCCGTAATCCTCTTGGTCGCCCTCCTCTGTACTTTTCCAAGCGCTGCCATGTCCTTTTTAGATACACTGCCCAGAACTGTACACAATATTCCAAATGAGGCTGCACCAAAGATCTATACAGGGGCACTGCAATATCAGCCGTTCTATTCTCAATCCATTTCCTAATTAAACGTCTCATTCCAAACAAACTGAGAATGATGCTTAGCCGCTCAAGCTACACTTTGCACAACATACTTGCTGGAGTTTTCAAAGAAACATGAAGGTATGTGCTCCATGCAGAAATTGCATCATGATGACTAATAAACCACCTATACCTCAAGAAACCCTCACAATCAGCAAACTCATTATAGACAATAGGAGCTATATAAGTGCCAATTAAACTCAGCCTCAAGAGTCTGATCAGCAGTAACAGCGGGCTTTATCCAAGGCAATGCCACCAAAATGTAGACCAGAGTCGTAAAGAGTCTATGGTTCCAACAGCAGAAATCCCAGTATTCCAGCTGTCCTCATTTCCAGTTTCTCAATGTTGCTCACTCATCCAATCCCTTGTCTATAGAGAGGATATCACAAGCTTTAAGGAGACCATTTTTTGTGTGAGAAAGGTCAAGAGAAGGATATTCAACAAAGTCACTAGAAAATTTGTTCTGTTGCTTAATGGCAAAGCATGACACTTCCCATTAATCTAGGTTTATTATTTGGAAGAAGAATTTGAGCGAATCACGTTTTAAGCAGCCTTAAATTGTCTGCTTTCCATTTTTCTTTTTAAACAGCTACATTCCCTCATTATTGGTTCTGTATCTGTTCTGGGCAATATTACCTTTGTTTATGTATTTATACTCTGCTTTTCTCCCCAGTGGGGACCCAAAGTGGCTTACAACACATTCTCCAGTCCTTTATTTTATCCTCACAACATCAAGCCTGGGATACAGGTTGGGCTGAGATTGACTGGTCCAGAGAACTTCCATGGCAGAGCGGCCATTTGAATCTGGCCTGCCTGGTACTAATCTGTCTCTCTAAATACTGCACCACATGGGCAGCTTTGATGCTGCTGTGTCAATAACCAAGCACTTCCTACCTAACTTTTTAAAATTTTATCCTGCTTTCCTCCATGATCAGAGACTCAAAGTGGCTTTTCACATACTTCCCTCCTCCACCACTTAATCCTCACAGCAACAACCCTGTAAGGGTAGGTTGGATTGAGAGACTGTGACAAACACAAGGTCTACTGGTTGGATTCCATGGTCAAGCAAGGGATTCGAACCTGCTCATCTCAGACACTAGTCCTTACAATCTATCCATGGCATCACACCAGTCCTCTAATTCGGAAACAAACATTTACCCTTCAGCTCACCTTTTAATTACTTAAACTCATGGATTCTTATCCCATGTGGACATCCTTTCTCTTCCTTTCAGCCATCTTTTACCTATTAAAAGACTGTATAATTCTGTGCTCCACTTTCTCTGAAAATCAATATAGTCATCTCTTTCAGACATTCCTGTGGAAGCCATTTACTTTTCTAGTAACACTCCATTGGATTCTTTCTGATACCTATTCCGACTGCATCAAGATAGCCAGTGTGATGTCATTTCAGATTAGGATTGAGGAGAGCCAGGTTTGAATCTTCACTCAGTTTTAAAGATGGGGTGACCCTAGCACCATCTCTTAGCATAACCTACATCATCCTCCTGTGAGGAGAAAATGGGACAACTTTGTATGCTGCCCTATGGGCCCTGGGGAAAAGGAGAAGTGTGACTAATCGCTAAATCCTGGTTCCATCTTTCTTTTTGCCTGTGAATTTGCAGAATCTCTCTTATCTCTGCTGCAAAATCGCCACTGAAGCATTCTCAAAGGCTGCAGTCAGATGTGCCTTTAGATCCAACTTAGCTGCGAATGCCTGATGGATCTAAAGTGCATAATCAGACTGCAACATCTGGGAAAGGTCCCACAGTAGTCAGAAACCCGTGCTGCCCTGCCACAGAAAAGGAGTTAAAAGACTCTGGAGAAAGTGTGGTCCTAACACTTGCCAACAGGACACGGATGGATTTTCCCTAGTCTGATCACTCAAGTGTGCACTCAGGCCGTCAGGATGGACTGCTCGGTCCATCTTGACTCAGCGCCATTTCTTTCCCTGCTTAGCGATATGCACATAGCCACATAATCAGTTCATAGAGAACTCCATGGAGAACTCTTCGTGCAAGGGTTTGATTCCTCATTTATGTGCATGCGCACAAAAAGGCGAAAAAACCCCACTCGTCCAAATGTGCCATCTGATCGCACAGTGACAGGCACCTGCAGCAAAATAAATTATATTGGGATGTCTGATTGAGCAACTCTGTGCCAAATACCAGTGGATGGTATAGGAGCGCTTTCCAACAGTGCCAAATGGCACATCTGACTGCAGCCTAACAAACTGTAATCAACCCTTCTGTATTTCATTTGCTCTTCAAGTCAGTGCATGTCTCACTCCCCCCTCCTTTTGGGGGGAGGGTTTTTCATTTTCTCACTGTACCTTTATACATTGTTGACAGTTTCCATGTAAATATCCCCTATATCTTAACTTTTTATCACACTATGAACATTAGCTTTGCCGCTGGCTGGCTGCCATCCTAAGCAGAGTTGCAGCTGTCTAACTTCGGGGACGTCAATGAGCTTAGAAGGTTGTAACTCTGGTTAGGATGGTGCTGTAGTCAGGACACTCTCCTGTACAAGCTTACAAACATTGTTATGGTTTGTCGGCAAGTGTATAGACAAGCATGCAGTTCAGATAAGTAATTATCACTCACAGTTTATAATGACACTTTTAACACAAATGCCACTATTCCAAGGGAACTTTACTTACAATATGTTCAATAAGACCCAGCTGTTTTCTTCAAGTCTGCGGTACTCCCCGGTCACTCCACTTCACTTTGAGATTGGCAGAGGGAGCTGAGCATCCTTTGTGCTGGCTAATTAGTTTCTCTCCAGGTTCTGACTCATAACCACAAAGGGAACAAGTTTTACTAGGCTTTCAGATGGGCTGGATAGACATGTGACTTTATTTATATGACCTCTCTCTCTCTCCTTTGGTATTTGGGAACAGGTGTTCAAGCTGAATCCCTTGTGAAGACATAAATAATTATCCATCCACACCTCAGTTGTTATAATCTTTTGACACATTATAAATAAAAGGAATGGTAAAAAAATTACAATTAAATCCAAGCAAGATGAATTACCTAGGTGAAGACAAACTCTGTCTAGGAGGATACAGCCATAGGTTCTTATGAGAACCACTTTTCCTGGCTAGCATTCTGAAAGAAATTAATTTGGCAAGGAACATTAATTTGAGATGCAAAGTTTAGGAAGTGGATGGTATTGCTGCTACAAAACTGATGGGGATTGATGAAGACCACCCCAGAACTATTAGTGTGTGTGTGTGTGTGTGTATTTGTTGCAAAAATGTGTCTGTATTGAAGAACAGTCAAAATGTTGCATCATAAGCATACTTAGAATATTTATAATCTGTGCTTTCTATTAAAAATAATGTCCAAAGTAGATGACAACCATCTTTATAAACATATTATATACATATCTTATATTCTAACCGTGAAATAATATCTTTGGATACTTGAATTTGGTGACTGGGGTAGTCCACAGGCAAGACAGATCTTTCTAAAAACCTGAAAAGGTCCCTAGGTTTGCAGAAAAATGTGAAATCTAAAGAAATCTGAAAACGATAAAAGGAGTGCCTACAGCTTTAAGCAACAGATTCCCTCTGTAGCTGTTGCTAGGCAACCATAGCATTCCAAGGCTTGCTTCTGCCAGTAAAAGCAAGGGCAGAACCCTTTCCAGGCCTATTTTGGCCACTGAGGGAGGGCACCTTGGGGGCAGGCCTGACTAGGGTTGCCATCTCCAGATTGGGAAATTCCTGGATATTTTGGGGTAGAATCTAGGGCTGCCAAGCCGCCGCAGGGGATCCGTGCATCTTTACAGGATTCCTGCAGTGGGGGACAGTGATACGCATTGCACCGCTGTCACCAGGATGTGACACTATGCATCGCTCTGGCAACAGGACTCCAAACAGCCCCGTGCAACCTAGGTGCAACGTGGCAGCCCTAGTAGAGTCTGAGGAGGGCAGGGTTTGGGGAGGGGAGAGGTCTCAAATTAGGGTTGCCAAGTCCGAAGCGGCACTGGAGTGGGGGACTCCAGTTTCTAGGCTTCAGTTTCTGTGAGTAAAAAGCCAGGGGGAGTGGGCAGGGTACTTTCCAAACCTATTTTGGCCCTTGAGTAGTGTTGCCAGGTCTTACCTCCTTGCTGGTGGGTGGTGGGAGGGAGCTTTCTGGGAGTGGGGGGGCAGGGCAACGTCACCACGTGCAACATCCCCGTTCTGATGACATCACCCAGAAATGACAGCACCCTGGGGATGTCACGTGGCAACCCTGTGGTAAACATAGAGTTTTGCCCAAAATACCAGAGTGTCACCATGCGAGGTCCCTGGTGTGACGATGTCACTTCCGCATGATGTCATCATGTTGGGGACATTATGCTGGGTCGTTGTTGTTGTGGGTGGGGCTTCCCCTGCCGGCCAGCTGACCTATGATGGGCAGGAGCCCATGAAATCTGGGGATCCCCCCCTCTCACCTAGGGGCTGGCAACCCTACCCTTGAGAGAGGACTCATTGGGGCCAAGCCTAGTTAAGGTTGCCAGCTTTAGGTTGAAAAATTCCTGGAGATTTTGTGGTAAAGTCTGAAGAGGGCAGGGTTTGGAAAGGAGGGACACCTCAGCCACCCTCCAAAGGAGACATTTTCACCAGGGGGTCAGATCCCTCATCTGGAGTTCAGTTGTAACTCTAGGTGATCCCAGGTCCCACCTGGAGGTTGGCAACCCTAGGACGGAGGACTCTATGGCATTATACTTTGCTAAGGTCACTTCCTTCCTCAAACCTCACACACCCAAGGCTCCACCTCCAAATCTCCAGGAATGTCCCAGCCTGGAGCTGGTAACCCTAAGGGAGAACTATTCTCTGTGGTTGGAAGATTGTAGTTCTCTGTGGTTGGGAGGGTGAGGTTTGTTGTTCTCTGTGGTTAGGAGATTGTTGTGATTCCAAGATATTTCCAGGCGCCATCTGGAGGTTTGTCACCCTAGAAGGAGAAAAGGAAGCAGGAAATCAGAAAAGGCTAATGCAGGGTTTCAGGAAAGAGGAACTAGTGGAGGACGAGGAAATAAGTTGTCTACCTGCAAGTCCTTGCGGGTTCCCACCTGTACATAATATTTTTAAAAGGTACCAGAAACCAGATAAAAATCGGTACAAAAGATCACAATTTCAGAGTAAAAAAGAAGCATAATTTCTTAGTAAAAAAGCAGCAGATAGTAAAACAAGCAAGAGTGGACTCTTAAAGTACAAATAAAGTGACAGGCCAAGGAATAAGTAATGACATAGTAAAATAGCTGCAGAGTAAATACATAGCACTGCAGAAAATGTTTACCAGACCAACTAAGGTTTTGGGGTGTTTTTTTTTTTAAGTTTTCACCTGGCCTGCTTGCCAAGGAATGTCCCTGCTTCTGTTTTTGTTCTTGAGCATCAGACAAGACAGATGGGAGAGGCTTGCTGATGGTAGGAGGGGGGGTGGGTGGAGAATCCCATATTGAATGTCAATCTATGTGGAGTGTGTAGTCCACAGACCAATGTCATTATTGTACTCTTCTGCTATGGGGAATTAGCATGGTTTCCATTCAGCACACATTGGGCTTGCAGGGCTTAGATGTTCTTGGACAAAAGCCCAAAGCACTCAAATATCAGGTAATCAGCAAAGCTAGAATCATTCCCATTGGCATGCATCTGGAGAAATATGCCATAGCATGTTCTGTTTAAACATCCAGAAAGGTAACTCAAAAGAAAACAAGATCTACCTGTAGGACTGTCTGGCTCCCCCTCCCTCTTTCCCCAAAGGCTTAAAATAGGGAAAACATGGGAAGGAAATCTTCTGGCCCCAAGTAAGGAAACACAGATACAGGCAGGTTTGCCAAATGTTCAGCTTGCCGCTGCTCTGTTCCTTGAACAGTACCTTGAGCTGTTGGAATGAGCAGGTGAAGTGTTTCACATTAATACTTGCCAATTGCTGCAGACCCTGACCTGGCTGGTGCAGGCTAGCCTGATTTCAAAAGCTAAGCGGTGTCGGCCCTGGTTAGTACTTGCAGAGGCAAGCAATGGCAAACTGTCCCTGTTCCTCTCTTGCCTTGAAAACCCTGTGGGGTAACCAGAAGTCAGCTGCAACTTGATGGCGCTTGCCAGCAACACACTTGCTGCAGGTCAGGTTGCTATTAATGACAGTATGATGATGGGCTGAAAAATGGACTGGTCTCTGATCAAGATGGGGAGTCCATCCCCTTCATTTCAGGCTAAGGAAAATAAAAATATTGCGGAAAGTTATATGATCATCCCGATTGTGCTGCCAGATTAAATGTGCCTCAGGTCTTGTCCTAAAAGCATCACAGGAGCCCCCCGCTAAACCCTTCTCTTTACAGACTTGCATTCCTGCAAACCAGTGATCAGGACCACCCATTTTAGAAGCCTTGGAGAGTGCAAGAAATTTTAAAGTGGTTAACCATGATCAATGGGGTTTAAAGACCAAGAAAAACTAAATGAAAGAGTACAGAACATGAGGTTGCCAAAGGAGGAAACCGAGATGCTCAGAGAGGTGGCATTGGACCGACATTTACAACTGTGGGAATCTTGGAAACAGAATTTTTCTTCTTCTTCGTGAAATGTAAAGTCCCTCCTTAAAGGGTGCCAAACCTAGATGTCAGCTTAAGTGTGCACATGTTTGCAAAGGGCACCTCAGTGTATGCCTTCCCACAGAAACCACAGTAGCTTCGCTGAGCTCTAATTAAAAGAGGGAGGCAACAGCCTCTGGCAAGCCAACTTGCGCTAGAGGTCAGCTTGCAGGAATGGCGTTTGCTTGGTTGCCAAAGGAGATACCATGCCTCTTGATAGCATAGCCAAGAGCTTGTCATCTTTGTGAGAGGAATGCATGTAAGTCCTTCACCAGTCTCTGGAACACCCCACCACCACCAATGGAACCACAAACACAAAAACGCACAACAGCACGATTAAAGCAAAAGGATACATAAATCCACCTTTTAAATATGAAATTGCAAAACTGTATAAATAGGAAATATGAATGATAAGATCTTTATGACACTGTATACAGAAGTATAAAGATATCACAACAAGCCACAGGAATCTAAAAGTGTTTCTGTTTTGACATAATACTTCTTCAGAGAGTCTCCTTGAAAATTTTGGACATATTGAGTGGGATCAAGCATGCTTTTTCATTCAGTCTTCAGCCAGACCCCCTCTTTATTACAACGCACATCCCAAGTAGCCTTTAATCATGCAGATTCCATGACCCCCAGAATAGCCTATGTGGTGGTCCTCCCTTTCTCCCTAGAGGAAAAGTTGGTTGGATCCACCCCATTATGAAGGCTTCTGAACAGGGGTTATTTCGTAGAAAAAGAGCTAGGGGAACTCATTAGCATAACTCATTAGCATATGCCACACACCCTGACATCACCGGAAGTGTGTCATAAGGCCACACACCCCGCCCCCAACGGTCCCGGCCGCCGCCGGCCTTGCAGCTCCACTGCCGAGCCCCATGAGGGGCCCAGCGGTGGACCTGCAAGGCTGGCGGGAGTGCAAGGAAGCCCCGTGAAGGCCCTCCCTGGCCCCAGGCAGGCAGGGGTGGGGAGAGGCAGGGAGGAAGCAACTTACCCTCCCTCTTCTCCTGCCTCCTCCTGGCTGAATGAGGGCCGGAAGCAGGGCGGGGCTTCGTTGTGTGCCCCGCCCTCGTACCTCACCCAGGGAAACTGTGATCCCCCGCGATCCCCCCCAAAATGACCTCTGCTTCTGAACTCAGTTAGTTTCATAAGGTAGCCATGTTGGTCCACAGTGGAACAGCAAGATTCGAGTCCAGTTGCT